ACCTCCTTGAGAAAACTTGTGCTCCTGTCCTGTCACTGCAGCAGAAAAGTCTGAGATGTTAAACCCGAGTAGCGGTGGAAAACGAGCTGCAGTATGCAAACGAAAAAAAAATGTGCAGACTTGTACATCTGCAGTTACAAAGTCAGGAAAACGTGACTGAAGATTTGTGAAGCATCGCCATTAGAACAGCCTATATAGACAAGAGTGAGTGCACCCATATATAATATATATCCTGGGGGGTGAACTCGTGTTTTATTTAATTTGGTTGCCTGAAGAAATAAGATTGGTGAGCGTATTGGGGCACAGGTATTTTTGCTCGTGTTGTACATCCTGCCTGAAAACGAGAAGACTGCATGACGATCGGCGATGTATGGCAAAGGCTTGATCATTTCTGTTAAAACACAAGGTAGATGTGCCATGATTATGAACATCTGCACATATGTTCATGTAATTCAATCAATTCTTTAAAATTCTCAGCAAATCAGCTCCAAATCATAAGCACCTATCTCTTTTCCACACTCTAAATGCAAATCACACAGTCCGTCTGCACGCCGAGGTGTTCTGTTTGGCTTAAGTGTAAATGCATACGGCTATTTTTAGGCAGACCTGGGTAAAGTCACTCATTTTTGCGTGCTAGATGCGCAGGATATTCAATTTTCAAACAGCAAAAGAAATCTTGGCACTCGTTTTTTTTTTTTTTTTTAGCGGCTTGCAGACACTGACGTGCCGCAGACCTACCATTCTGCAGTCGGCCACGGCGCGCTGGGCTTTGCGGGTACTCTCGGTGCTCTCCCTCCGCTGCGGGTCTCGGTACGGAGGCTTGCCGATCTGGAAGATGTTCCCGGCGGATCTGGGGCGGTTTTTGCGCCCATTCGATGCAGAACTCATGCATACACATCCACGATTAAAACAGCCCCAAAACGGAACGATTCTGTCCGACTCCAGCCACAAATATTTCTAATGATTAAAAACTCCTCCACCGCTGTTCCCCTTCTACCTCACCACCATGCACCCTTTGCCGTTCACCTTATTCTCTCCTTATAGACTCAGTTCACCTTCGACAACTGAAGCTCGATTTATTCTTATTGCTCTTTGTCGCTACCTTTATTTATTGTAGGAGAGGGAGGAGGGGAGGGAAATCCCAGACGAGCCTAAGGGCGCAGGAAAAGTAGAGGATGAGCGCCTGTGGCTCCTCTCCGCATTGCTTTGACTGCGTCGGGGCTCAAGTCACCTTCACTCCCGCGCCGCTATAAAGGTGTATAACGAGGACTCTTCACACCCGGCTAGGAGTCCAGTTTGCAGAAGCGTCCTTTCTGACGCACAGATGTCAGATCGCATTCACGGATGGTCTCCAAATGCAACCATTTTTTATGATTGCGCGTTTCCATCAAGCACCGGGCGATTAAAAATATTTTCCTCTGTTCTGTGCGGACCAAATAACGCCGTCTGCGTGCGCTGAGAATAAAGTCGCAGCCTACACTTTGAGCTTCTGTGTAGGAGAAAATATGAAACTGATCCCTGGCGTCGGAGTTCCAGTCCGGCTCCGAGTGTCTTTTTCTTCTTCTTCTTCTTCTCCTTCTTCTTCTTCTTCTTTGAGTGCTTCCTCCCAGTCGGGCGGGCCTATCTCTAACCTTGGAGAGGCAGAACGAAGATGAGCACTTGCTACAGGCCTGACGTGGCTCTGTGGTTGGCAACACTGCGCGCCCGTGGGACGGGAATACTAATAGGGCCCGTTAACCAGACTCTAGCAAACCTTGAAAATAAAGATTATTGTCCATCAAAAACGCTGCGAGCTCTGTGAGGACTGAACTTGATCACTATAAACTTTTAAACTGAGCCGAAATTTACTTTTTGTGCTGTGATCTACAGGTGCAACTCTGTAATTTGGAATATTATCAAATGTCACAGAGTTACGCCCTCCATGGGGAGGGCATTGAACAGATGCACATGGCTGCACAGACTGATTGCGCACAGGTTGCTTTATCCGGATACATTAATGGAAGGTTGAGTGGAAGGAAAAAGGGAGATGAAAATGTGCAGAAGCAACAGGAATAATCAACAAATCTTCAAAAATATGGTGACATAAAACCCATTTAAGAGTAGGTGAGAGTTATTGTACACTATATTAACATTCAAAAGTTGAATTTCCCAAGTTCCAAATCAGAAAAGCAGTAAGAAGGTTCAGTAATGCTAAAATTCTGACTCAGAAAGTTGGAGCTCACCAAGCAACCTCAAGGCTGATTTTCAATTTTACTGCATAACCCCTAACCCCATCTATCTGAAATATAATGAGGGAGGCCAGTATAAAGAAATGATTAGCATTACATTTGTATCTCTTGTGATATTTTTTCCAGCTCCTAACTCCGATTCCCAAAACTCTAATATTGCTTCCCGTGGACTCTACTCAGTGACGCACAGGTTACCACACACATGCATACCCATAACACTGGGTAAGACTTCTTTGTTTTCCTCAAATCCCAAACCAGATGTTGGAATCATCTTAGGAAGAAAAGTGTCTGGCTCGTTTACTGTACAAGCATAATAACGGAAAACTGAATGGAGGGATTTTTGGTTGATTTTGGGGAGGTTCTAACTTTGAGTGTGGCATGTGTGTGGCAGTGCCACACGCATGGAGAAGTACCATTCTGCAGCCTTGACTTCTCTCTCCAGGTGAATTTACAACAAATCACATCTCACAATTCACATGGTATCATCAGAAACCCTTTTGGATTATTAAGCTACATTGACCAAAATGTTGAGTTGAGCTAAGCTTACTCATATGTCCTAAACATCTTCAGGAAACAAGAGCAAACAGTCCAGTTGCCTTCTACTTACTGTAAGTACTGTAAAGATCACCATATCCTGGATGACAGAGAATCTTCTCCAGTCTGCTTGCGGTGAAGCCTTAACTTGTATCCCCAGGCAACTTACACACATGGTTAAGGTGAAAAAGAGTTATCTTTTTAGGAGGGTGTGAATATTGTTTAGGGAAAGTGTTGCTGTGATAATCTCACAGAATATTGTGAGTATTAATCCAGAGGTTCTGGTGTCTATCCAAGGGGGAGAAAGTTATGAAGAGAGAATTAATACAGCTGGATTGTACGTCAACAAAGTTTCTGCCCCAGAATAATAGATGTTTGTTCCAACCCCACGGCTAGGAGCTTTGCTTCTCTGTTAACACTCACACACAGCAGCAGAAGCATCAACCACACACACACACACACACACACACACACACACACACACACACACACACACACACACACACACACACAGACTATAGTGTTTTATCACTGTGAATTTCATAGAATGAAATTAGCAAATCCTCATACATCATCAACTAGGTAGAACAATGATGAACGATGAGAGACCTGTAGTTACCAAGCCGTGAGTCCTCATTAAATTCGCAATGGAGAGAAGTATTTTTCTGATCTCTTCTCACTTAAACGAACATGCTTTTTTTTATTTTTTATTTTAAGTTCAACACTATTCACACCTTAAAGTATGTGACCAAAACCATTCACACATTGGCAGCATTAGGTGACACATTTGGATCCTCTAGTGACAATGACCCAAAAATGTTATCGAATAGAGGGTATGGCACAGGGACTCTTTTGATCTTGATGCTCTCAAACAGTGAAACTGTTCTGACCATAAATTATGTGCCTGATAGTTCCAACCCATGTTTAGAACTGAATTATTTGTGTGAGAATTGTGATGTCTTCTAGAAACCAGAGAGGTCCAGTTGCCTCCAGTTTAAGCATGTAAGATTTTCAAGACATGGATGAAAAGCTGAAAGAAAAGCTAAAGAACTAACTACTATTAGCTATTCAAGAAACTAAAATATTCTGGAATTGTTAGAATTGCAATTGTGAACTTTTACAAACAGCAGTAATCAATCACTAACTTTTGTATGGAAATGTCCTAATGTGGACTCTGAGATCAGTATTTGTAAGACATTTTTCCATTCTTCGGTGGAGTCTGGCGACGGCAGGCACTTAAACTCCATAATAAAAGTATGATTTTATCTTTTTTTTAATCTTTTTCTTTTTTTTTCTTTTTCCAAAATCTCTTTCTCTTTCTTACTGTTTATTTAATGTCACATACCGTTTTTATTTTGTTTCTTAATTATGTAAAGCACTTTGAAATGCCTTGCTTCTGAAATGTGCTATACAAATAAAATTTGATTGATTGATTGATTGATTCTTCAACATGGAAATGCTAATCTCTGAATAAAAACAGAGTAGACATTTGAAACATTCATTTAAAACAATCAGTGCTAAATAATAAACATGTGGGTGTTTTTTGTTGTTTCTTTGATGTTCAGGCTTGAAACAGCAAACTCTCTTAAAATAATATTATTTCACATATATTTTTATGATCAAATTAGCCACACACTGAGCACTGCACCAAACATGGATAGTGGCTACATAGAAAATAAAACAATTATATAAGCTTTACATTAATGCATACATGTAAAAGTGATCAATATGGGTCAATTTCTTCTCTCACAGAAGGAAATTATCCTGTCAAACATTTGCTTCCTGTTAATGTATCTCAATTTATTGCAGGCTTTCAGTGGTTGTTTGGTCCTTCTTGGACAAACAACCAAACCGCAAAAAGAAGAACGTAAATGTACTGAATCAATTAGGAACTACTTTCAGTGTACACAGTAGTGGCTTTTCTGCAGACATGTTGCTATGTGGTTGTGAATTCAAAGGAAAGGCTTTCAAAAGAAAAATAGAAATGTTTTAGTCGTGACACCACATAAGTAAACAAACCACCTGCTTCGGATGTTATCATCCCATAGAATGGCGATTATCAGTGGTTATCAGATCTTACCCATTCTTTTGCTAAAGGGTATTATCTGTGCTACCATGTTGAAACTGTTGAAGTGCAAAAGTAATGAGTTCAGCTAACATGCTCACTGATGTGTTGGTTTCATACCCAAATGTTTCTCTAACTATTTAAAGCACTCACATTTGACAGAATATCTATACATACAAAAGCTTTTATTGATGCATTGTGCATTTATCAATTGTTTAAGACAAACTACAGGAAATGCTAACATTGACAGCTTTCTGATAAACAGATGTCACAAATACTGTGACCAAATTAGAAGTGTCTTTTTTGCAGTCCCAGTGATGCATAATACATTTTGAAAAAACATGTTTAATGACAGATAGCACAACACAAACACATCTCCAATAAAAGCTTCTTTTACATTTTAGCTGCAAACAGAAGTGAATGATTTCACAGACTTGAAGATGTTGCACAATGGAGATCCATGAACTCTAATAAGCCAGAAACTACTTATATCATATGTAGGACAGTATCTTCGAACATACAGATTTGAACACTTTGGACAGCGAGTCACCCTCTCATTATTCCAGCAAAGAACCAAGTAGTACTATAAGACAATTTTTTCAACGTTAAACATGTTAATGTTTCACCTTCGCTCTGAAAGACATAACAAGGCTCAACTTCTGGGAGTCTGACAATGACGACACAAGTTTTTCTTGAAGCCACATGCCAGGTGTGACCACTGCTCACATGTGTTGCAACGTCGCCACTCACGCCACTTCTTCTTGGCATTTTTTTTCTCATCACTGAAAAGACAGTGGCAGATGTTGCAAACATTCGTAGTATCTAAATAAAGAAAAAGAAGTCATTTATTGACAAATGTCGTTTAATCAACATAAAAGAAGCATAATGCATTAATTTATTTAAATGCATACTATCTGAAGTCGGTTCTCTTGACAGCACTTCCGTCAAACCCATAGGCTCTGTTATGCTCTGCTCATCTAAAGACTCTTCCAAGACCTGATCTTTTAGTGTATCCCATAGGCTCAGCTCCTTCCTTTTTGCCCTGGTATACGCGGTCCCTTCTTCCTTTGAGTTTTCAGTACAAATATCATCTGATGCGGGAAAAACAGTGTTGGTGTCAGATGAGCCTGCATGTGACGGAATATAGGAATATTTCTCCCGAGCACCGATGGTTTTCCGAGTTAGTTTTATTTTTTTGGTCCTACAACGGACACTGCTCTTATATTTAGGCATGGTTCTAAAGTGGGAGAGAACAGAAGGAAGACAGAGATACTGTAACACCGAGAAGCATAAAATAATAATAAAAAACCCACAATTTTAGCACATTGTTATTAAAGGTATGAAGGACAACTACATTTGAACCTGACTGGCTTTTAAGAGGCTACTTTAGCGAGCTTCCCGCGTATTTTTTCTACCAAATAGGGTTAAAAACTTGTCTAAATCTGTACAAACACATGCTGTGGCACAGACTCGCTAACATTAACTCATACAACTACCATCAGCAGATTTATAAACGTACACTTTCGGTCTTTTGGGTTTTTTACTACATTTTTATTTGACAGATTCAGGGGCTACTCACCAGCTCCAACTGTGGAAAGTGTCGCATCAGATGACGTAAGCTTCTTCTTCTTCTCTAATGTTTTGTCGGGTGCAATCCGTAATTTATTATTATTACTACTAATACAAATATTACACATTTTCAAATGGTACAAACACATATTTTCCTATAATCATATGAGCAAATCTGTCTGTATTTTATTTTTTTAATTTTTTATTAAACATAGGATTAGGGCCAACCCTAACTTCTTCTTATCATTATTAATGGATTGCAAGCAACTCCGGATGTACATACCGCCACCTAGTGGAAGCTGTGAGGTTGGACAACTCATAACACTACATAACTCTACAATGTACCTTTTAATTTTATTATATATATATATATATATATATATATATA